TCATCTCTTACATACACACACTTCATTAGTGGTTTCATAATAGAACACTTTATGAAAACATTAATCCTGCTCATTAAAATGACTGCTATTCACTGAAAATTCAATGACAATTCCATTAAAGTACCCACAAGCATTGTAGTGACCTAGTATGACCTAAATGCATTTATGCAAAGAAATATGTAAATCCAATTTTGATGCTAGTTCAAATTCGGCAATCTTCAGTTATGATCTCTCCGCTGTATGCGATTCAAATTTTTTGACAGATTCGAAAATAAGTATTGCTGTTAATGAAATACTATTTCACCGCTCAGTGAGTCAGATAATCGATATTCAATGATATTTCAAAAACTTCATTTCATTTTTATGTCGCAGAAAGAAAAATAAATATTGCAAATGAATATTTAAATGTCAAATTGTGTTCAGCAGATTATTTGCTCACCCGAAGCACAAATGAACAGTATTACAGTGCTTGCATCTAGCATGCAAAGAAGTTATAAGGCTTTAAATACCTTTATATGTGTGTGTGAAATTTTTAAATTATGTAAGAAACACAATAATTTCGTAAGTTAACAATTTCAATTGTGAATTTTGGGTGTAGCTATTTATGTGATGAAAATGTGTTTTAAAACTGACATATGAATTTATTATTAGGATTCATTAACATAATGTGATTACATCCCCCAGTGTCACAATATTTACCTTAGTGATACTAAGCTATGCAAGTTATGCACTGTCGATAATTTCCATTATAAAATGGAGATAGACGACAGCTGAAAATATACCCCACTTATTGTATCTTCTTATGCTTCTTCTTCTTCTTGATATCTTTGATATCGTTGATATCGAAAATCGGACATATGCCACCTTTGTAAGTGTATTTTACTATATTCTTAAAAGAAATTTAAAGAAAAAATATGAAGCTGTTTTTGAGAAAATTTTGAGAATGTCCGAGGGGTTTCATGTAAAGTCCCCCAAATTTTAAACAATGTTTACATAATCTCAAAGCTTCGACACGAGCGAGTGGACAATGATGCCTTCAATTTGGAAAAACATCGTACGTATGGTTTAGGCGCTAGTGGCGTTCACAGACGGACGGACAGACATACGGTAAGACGGACAGAAAGATGGACGTTTTGAAGAAAAAAAAACAACACTTTTTCAATATCAAGGGTCCCCACCGTTAAAATCTCGTAATCGATTTTCTACACCATTACATAACATTCCCTATACTACGTATAATACTATATACATATGTACATATCCTTATATACATACACTTATATACATATACGTATATACACTACTACGTATATACATATAATACTACGTACGTACGTATACGGGAAAGTTAAAAGTGTCACCTGATCTGACATGGAGAAAGGCAAGTGGAAGTATTGTGATGAGCTCTCAAACCAGATTTCTTAAAAACTTCAATTATTGAATGAAATGAGATTGTGCTGACAGGCGATAAAATATAAAATAATACTGTAGAAAGAACACAAATAAAACATGTCAAATTTTTCAGCGTCTGCCCAATTTAATGCTGTAAATACATTTTGTTTTTAATGAATGTTCAATTCAATCAAAATGCATTAAAATATATACGCGTGTGATCCACTGCATGGATGTATATTTCTATACACGACACTATGTTGTTTTCACTGTACGTTTTGTCCCCATCGTTACCCGAAGTGATTGAAATGCAATACAGTCATAAAAAAGGCTAAAAAGCATTTTTTTAGTTTAATACAGGCAATGAATTTGTCATTAATGCATTACTTTACAATTATAGTTTCATTTTACCTATTTGATAAATACTTTCGTGCCCAGGCGAGTTTTTGACGTTTAATCAATACATCATTACAAAATAAAACAGTCACAAAACAAATAAAATATCGAAAAGATATTGTGACGGTCAAGTCCAACCTACACATCCGTGTAATTTATTTTTTGGTACGCGTACACTATAGGGTTAATACGTCGTTTTACCATTATATTCAGCGAGTAAATAGCTTCACAAATTGGGTGTAACAGTACAATTACTAATTCCGCGACAGACCAATACCGTTACGCGCAAAATCATCATTTCCAATTTAAACATGCACATGGAAGAACTTTTGCATGCGCTAGTTCCGCAAGTCAGAACTCACAAATGGTGTTCTTACAGTGATGTAAAGGTTTGGTTAAAGAATATATTTTACGTTACTAATTGATTGAACTCCATTTTAAATATATATTAGGCTTTTCAAGGCAATATGTTTTTTGCGAAATATCGAAGTTTACTTAATAATCAAGATTATAGTACATTTTGAGAATATGTAGTACTAGATTAAAAGTAAGTTTCGTCGCGCAATCTGGTTTTCCTTTTATAACCTTCCCGCCTCACATGAAAAAAATTCCGTCGGACACCGTTTTTCTCACAATTGACGTCAGAACCCCTCTTTTCCAAGTTCATACGAGATAAAACGTCAGTCACTTTTAATTGTTCAATATTCTTCTCTGAATTAAAACCTGACTTTCTCATATAAATGTATAAATAGTGTTTTATTATTTTTAAATACATCGAAGACAAGTCAGTATCCAATTATGTACTTTTAAATACAACGTTTACTAAAAAAGTCGATACAGTTTGATCAGCTCTTGAATGAACCATGAAATCGCTCATAACTTCATGTTAAGTCTCGACACTCGCTTAGGGGAATAAAAACACCTGTTCCAGACAGACTGTGATTTCCTGATTAAATTTTAGATAATTTAATAATAATAATAATAATAATAATAATAATAATAATAATAATAATTTAAGATAATACATTGTGGTAATAAATAATTCATAAAAATATGAAATACCTTTATAAACAAAAGATACCATACCGAAAAATTATGTCTCAACTTTTGTTTTGCTTTTCCCTCTCCCATATAAATTCAGTAAGCTTCTTTCTTCACAAAGGCGGGCGTAATTGCGGCTAACTCCTACCTCTCTGAGGAGGTGGCTGTGCTATTCCCCCATAGTGAGATCCGGAGTCTATCTAAACGTCGACTTGCAGGGATACCACCCTCAGTGGGCCATCAGCCGGGCCAAACTCTAAGATCCCGACTGTACTTCCTTCCAAGTTTCTCCTACAAGCTGGACACCGCCCCACATGGAACACGCTCTGGTTTTTCGACGTACGTGGTTTTATAGTGCATGTAAGTGTAAGAGTGTGAAGTAAGGAGTGATGATAGGAGAAGAAAGAGAAAGGAAAAGGCGTGCGTGTCTTGTTTGTTAGGGGACTGTTCTGGCAATCAGATAGATTTGATCGGAGAAACCACGGAAAACTACCGATCAGAGCAGCCAACGGCTAGAATTCTCCTCTAGGCAGCGGATGAATTCGATCTGTCGAAAATTCTGTTACCGTCGGAACTCGAACCTTAGGGTTTCCCTGACAGAGGGATTGCAGTTGTATGAGTTGATGCCCTAAGAAAGACAATCTTACTTCTGAAAATATGTACTATTGCACACTGTGAAGATTCCCTTAAATATAGATACAAGTATATAAAAATATTCAAAATTATACAAGATTTCACTCTCCAAAATTGATAGATTTTTAAATACAACTCACTAAATATAGCTCTTTAGATCGTCATGAAGACACAAAAATCTGTTCGGAAGCTATAAATCATGCACAATAAAATATGAACCTTCTGAATCTGAGAATTAGTAATTTTCTAGAAAACGACGGGTTGGGCGGGAATGGAAAAGTGTAGAAAAATGATCACTAAGTGTTCCTGGATTTTGAAAGACTTACATTTTAAACACCATACGGCTAAGTACACCGAAATACCGAGCTTTGCTAAATATTTCATAACATTGAAATGGTTTATGAGTGTACAATTTTCAACGATCATGAACCTTAGGTGCTCGGAGGCTTTAGCTAAAATCGGTAAAAATTGAATGCACTACTACACATACAATTCTGTTTTCGGATCGTGATGAGTTTCAGACCTCTATCGAATCAAAATACATCCATTAGTGGATTTCTAGGCCTATTCAAGAATCTGACCATAAAATAAAAAGGGTGTCGAAAGAATGTAGACTAGCTGAACCCGTGCAAAAATTCGGCACTTTAGAAATAGTTTTAAAATTGAAAATTAATTTATAGCAGGATTCAACTTCCATCGACGATCCTCTAAATTATGCGATATAACTTTACAGGCAGGGTTCTGAAAGACAGGAACCAAGATAATATTGTTAAGCGTTGAGATTAAATTGCAGTGAAAATCAAATGGTTCCTTCAATTTCCTTTAATTTTATGGTGAATTTACTGGTTATTTTACTTATATTAAATTTTACATAGATTTCCGATATCTACACTTTTCTATCGAACAATGAAGTGCTAGCAGATAAAATTTATTAGAAAGTTCAAAAAGATCTCGGTTTGTTTGACTCAATACTGTGTAAGAAACATGATTCGGACCCCACTTGTCCCTTTCATTTCACCAACTACCCCCATATGCCAGCCAAAACGCGCGTGTTCAGGTAAGTCACCAGCCCGCACAAAATCTGTTTCTATTCTGGGCACAAAATCTGGTTTTGAGGGCCTGGTCACTTCGTTTCCGAGCTATGGGCGATTATGTTTATGGCAGTAGACCTTTTTATGGCGTAATATGCAAACTTAATTTTTTCATCTTAAAACTCTTAGATGCAGGTCTGGGAGTAATTCCCTATGCAGCAGTGGTACACTTACAGGGTTTAGTGTCGATGGTTTATTACAAATAGCGAAAAACTCTCATATATTCTAAAGTTATTGTACTATATAGAAAGAATACTTGACTTTTGAAGAGCACATTGCAGAAAGCCGAATCTACGGCACTCAGAATCACCGAATTCTCACAAGCCATCTTCAATACATTTCCTCTAAAGTTGGTAGTTAGAGTTCATATTTTTTTCAAGAAAATTCTTCTAAACTGTAACGCACAAATACATCCAATCATGTTGTACACAAAATATGAAAAAATACTTCGAGCCATTGCCCGTTCAAGAACATATCTATTAAATTGCATCCTCTGTCGAGAAAATGTCGGCTTTTCTCGTCACACACGAGAGCAAACAACTCTTGTGTCTGGATGGGCAGCCGCGCACTCGCGGAAGTTTCAGCAGTCCCCTTTCCCGGTAGCTGCGCGCTCTCCTGTCCCTGCGGGCTGGCGGGGCTGTATAAATCAAATAGCGGTTATAATCACACGGTCGGCAAGGCGGGGCGTGGTGGCGGTGAGTGTGGCCGGGACGCCAGGGAGGGGTGGCGTGGGTCAGAGAGGGAAGCGGAGTGTCCGAGAGGGGGTCCGCGTCCCCATTATCATTACAAATCATCCACCCTCGCGCGCAGGATACATCACGCGCCGACGGCGGCGGCGCGGTGGGTGAGCGAAACTGCCCCACTGTCCCTGGCCCGGCCCCGGCCCCCGCCCGCCCCTGCCACGCTCTTCGATGCTGAGGTGCCGTGTCCCACCCGACGCAGTCGCTGTCCCCGCGCGTCGCCGACTGCCGCTCTCTTAGCGCAGATCTGGTCCACGGTGCCCGAAACGCATTCGCTCCTCTGAGTGTTGCCAATGTTAATCGCGGCAGTTTGCGCGCTGGTGGTGTAACAGCGCTTTAGACCGTTGTATTCAAGACCGTTTAGACCGTTGTATTCAAGTTTGTGGAATGAAGTGCGATCGAATCAGTTGCTTCTTAAAGGTAAAAAAAATCCTTTGTTGGCCTTCCTACGGAGAGGAAGTAAAGCTTGCTGCCCCATGTTGTAGATGTACAGAGAGATCAAGCCAAAAAGGAGCATCTATGCTACATTCTAATCACCCGCTTCTTCGCTCGACAGATACCAAAGAGTCCTTCATAAACGGTCACAAAGTGATGTACTGTGTATGCGATGACTTACATTTAACTAAATAAAATATTAGAATGAATCCTGGTATTCAGATGGAAACTGCTTTTCATTGAGTAGATACTGAAATCAATACGTATTAATTGGGCAATAAAAATACGATGCTGTGACATATAAATAAATTATCGCTCATTCGAGTATGTCCCTTAGTGTTAGTTGAGTACAAATAGTAAATAATTGGTCACTATTACTATTATTATTATTATTATTATTATTGTTATTATTATTTGCATATCTGACATTTCTGGCCACGCTATACGATTAACGTGTAACTATGAGGATCAGCCTTTTAACTGTATCCCTCGGTAAGACATAATTGTTACGGCTTGAATTGTGCATAATGCCTACGCGGGTCTCGAACCTGCAGCCTCCTCAGTGCAGACGACAGCTGCCGCAACCCTCTGCGACACGGGGTCGGCTATTATAATTTATTATTATTATTATTATTATTATTATTATTATTATTACGATTATGATTATTGTCTTATATAGTTATTGCCCAAGAACATACATCAAAACTACGACAAAGGGAAAATTTTCCAAATACTACGCAATAATCACGAAAAAGCTGCCAACAGAAATATTGAGTCAATTAAAATTAACGTATGTTTGTTCGTAGCCGGAGAGAAGAATCTGAATGCAAACTTGAAGGTATTTTCAGTAGCGAAGTGAAAATGCGCAAGTGTGCGGAAATACTATTTTAAATTGGACGCAAATTAATATGCAAGCGAAACTGCGTCATAGCGCTGCCAGGTTTCTTCTTGTTCTCAAGAAATCCTCACGAGAAACTTTTAATTGTATGAAAATTACACCGACAAACGTGCTAGAATTCACGACCTACTCCAAGAACAACCAATTCACTCTTTCCTCGTTCTTCGTTTACACTTTAAATTCTCAGCAAGGTCAGCTTACTCAATCTGTCGCAGAAATTCTTGCAACTTATTTTCCGCAACACTGATATTGAAGACAACGAAGGGAATTTGTCTTTGTACACAGGCACAGGAAGAGTCTTTTATATTATTTCAGTCACTAACCTACTTTGAAAATGTAGTCTTTTTAGTGGCGCATATTTCTCTTCATTTTCTTAATAATACCATTTTGTACAGGTGTTTCATGTGTTCCTGTCTTAGGAAGCTTTAATTAAGATAATTTTTGCATAATTACATCAAAGTATACGTTTGCGCCTTCGTTCGGTAATTTGTGAATTTTTAATTTTATCGTGCCTATCTTCTTCCTGGTGAACGAAAATGAAAGGATGTGGCCTTTTAAACGTGAATCCTTGCTCCCGTTTCTGTGCAGCGTTGATTGCCTTATAATGTAACAAAGACGCCATTCAATGGGCTACACTGCACGTCGTAAAATGTACAATGGCTTTCTTCTCATTCTAAGGGCCGTAACGAATATTATGTCTGGTAAATCCTCAGGTAAGTTGACGAGTACCAACAAGCTATAGAAGAGGCTGGTTACAAACTACTTGCTCATTGTTTTTAACGCAAAGTACATGGTTATAAACATTAGAAAACAATTATATAAGTGTAATCGTCACATTGCTCTATTTAAAAGCAGTTAACTTCATTTTAGGGCCTCCAACAAATAAAATTATTAATTTGATAAACATTCAAACATCTTTCTAGCTCTGATATGTCATTAAGACTTAATCATAAGATGCAAACCATTGGTACAACCAGCACAGTACGTAAGAAAACAACAGTGTTAACCATCGATAGAAATATTAACTAATTCTATGGCTGCACAACACGTCTGGTCTCAAATAGTCAACGAAAATGTCAATGAAAATGTGGTAATCACAAACAACAATAACAATAATCACAATTATAACAATAATACTCGATCGAAACAAATAAATTCGCAGTGGTACACGATCTTATGTCTAGGATATACGAACTTGGAGCTGTTTATGTGGGGAGGGATTAAAAAGCATACATATTGATTCTTACTTACATTTTATGTTATTTATTTAATGCCAAACATCATTTCAAAACTGTTTGAGGTACTATGGGGAGAAGTGTATTCTGGCCTCGTTTTCTTAAATTATTCTACCTTTCTTTTCCCTACCCCACATGCAAGTTGAATTATGGATACAAGTGGAAACGAGCGTTTTGAGCAAGAAGAAAATATTCGCTCGTGAGTAATAAAAACAATTTGCAAAGGCAAATCAGCGACGGATTTTTACTATTATCGCTCATCGTGTCCTTTGTGAAGGGACGACTTCGCGAGAACATGGAGAACGTTAATTTGTGTAACAATATTCCCCACTAAACTCTAGAAAATGAACACGTACAATGAAGTTATATTAGTCAAATAAAGAACATTGTCGAAGATCTCACTGAGCAGACCTAGATTAGAAGTTCTAAAGTACAGTTTTCCTACAGCTTGAGAACAATTTTCTATCCTTCACCGACAGTATGCGAACTGCTATTTAGTAATTACACTTATTCCATTTGCGCGTCATGAGGAGTTCTTTTTCTCGGAGATCTATCGCAGGCTCTACGTTTTGTACACACGATCGTATAACACGGCACTGTCGCCATTAGAGACGGGGAGTCACAACTTAATGGAGAAAAGGTCACAGACAGTTTGTGTTCCTCGAATTAACATGAAAGATTTATACGATACTCGAGCTCGCAGAGCACGATTGATGATCAGCGCACGCCAATCTGTGGACGAGGTCAGCTCGGTGAAGGTCACTCGCAGTAAGCAAATGAAATACGCATTTTTCGTGCCTAACCCCTCTATTGATAGATTGTGTATTTTTTGTTTCGGGAATCGTAAACTGTTATGGTCATTAGTCTCGTTTGCGTAATACAGGGTTCGGATAAACCACGAAAAAACTACCGATCAGGGCAGCCGTCGGTACTCGAACTCTAGACCTCTCACTCTGAAATGGTGCCGTGGTAACAACTGTTGCTCTGGGCCCTCTCAGCCAATCTGACGCTGCTAGAAAAGAATAAATGTATACTCGCTACGATCGCGGTTTTCTAGCGAAAGTCAGATTGGCTGAGAGGCCTCAGCATGTGATCTCCCTGTGGTCTCCCGGCGATGGCGTTGCCTTTGACGTGACTGGCGCGTGCGTAAGTTGTAGAAGGCTTGGTCGCGCTGGAAACGCAGCATGACAATGCTTCGGCCTACCGACCTGTACTTGAATTGCTGTCTGCACGTTAACAATCCGGCGCAGTACCGGCAGTAATAATGTATTACTCGTCGTACGATCTGGGTTTTCTAGCAGCGTCAGCATGGCTGAGGGCTCAGATGTGATCTCCCTGGGGACTCCCGGCGATGGCGTTGCCTTGACGTTGACTGGCCGCGGTAAGTTTGTTAGGAAGCTTGGTCGCCTGACGCAGCGCATGCACAATGCTTCGGGCCTACCGACCTGCTACTTGAATTGCTGTCGCACGTTATTTATCCGGCGCGTACACGGCCAGAATTTTAATGTATTACTCGTCTACGATCTGGCGTTTTCTACAGCGTGTCAGTTGGCTGAGAGGGCTCAGATGTGATCTCCTTGTGGTCTCCGCGATGGCGTTGCCTTGACGTTTGACTGGCGCGGGAAGTTTGTTAGGAAGCTTGGTCGCCTGGACGCAGCAGACAATGCTTGGCCTACCGACCTGGACTTGAATTGCTGTCGCACGTTTATCCGGCGCGTACACGGCAGTAATAATGTATACTCGTCTACGATCTGGCGTTTATCTAGCAGCGTCAGAATTTGGCTGAGATGGCTCAGGATTGTGATCTCCCTGTTTGGTTCTCCCCCCCCCTTTTTTTCTTCCTTTCCACGGGCGATGGCGTTGCCTTACGTTGACTGCGCTGCGTAAGTTTGTTAGGAAGCTTGGTCGCCTTTGGACGCAGCATGACATGCTTCGGGCCCCTACTGCCTGTACTTGAATTGCTGTCGCAGTTATTATCCGGCGCGTACACGGCAGTTAATAATGTATACTCGTCTACGATCTGTGTTTCTAGCAGCGTCAGATTGGCTGAGAGGCTCAGATGTGATCTCCCTGTGTCTCCGGCGGGGCGTTGCCTTGACGTTGACTGGCGCGTGTAAGTTTGTTAGAAGCTTTGGTCGCCTGGACGCAGCTGACAATGCTTCGGCCTACTGCCTTGCACTTGAATGCTGTCGCACGTATTATCCGGCGGCTACAGGCAGTAATTAATGTATACTCGTCTACGATCTGGTTTTCTGTTAGCAGCGTCAGATTGGTTGAGAGGGCTCAGATGTGATCTCCCCTGTGGCTCCCGGCGATGGCGTTGCCTTGACGTTGACTGCGCCGGTAAGTTGTTAGGAAGCTTGCGTCGCCTGGGGACGCAGCTGACAATGTTCGGCCTACGACCTTTGTAACTTGAATTGCTGTTCGCACGAACCAATCCGTTGCGGCGTACACGGCCAGGTAATAATGTAAACTCTCTACGATCTGGGTTTCTAGCAGCGTCATATTGGCTGAGAGGGGCTCAGATGTGATCTCCCTGTGGTCTCCCGCGATGGCGTTGCCTTGCGTTGACTGCGCGGTAAGTTTGTTTAGGAAGCTTCGGTCGCCTGGACGCAGTGGCTGACAATGCGTTCGGCTACCGACCTGTACTTGAATTGCCTGTCGCACGTATATCCGGCGCGTACACGGCAGAATAATGTATACTCGTCTACGATCTGGGTTTTCTAGGCAGCGTCAGGATTGGCTAGAGGGCTCAGATGTGATTCTCCCTGTGGTCTCCCGGCGATTGGCGTTGTCTTGACGGTTGACTGGGCGCGGTAAGTTCGTTAGAAGGCTTGGTCGCTGACGCAGCATGACAATGCTTCGGGGCCTACCGACCTGTACTTTGAATTGCTGTCGCACGTATTATCCGGGCGCGTACACGGCAGTAATAATGTATACTCGTCTACGATCTGGGTTTTCTAGCAGCGTCAGATTGGCTTGGAGGAGGGCTCAGATGTGAATTCTCCCGTGGTCTCCGGCCGATGGGCGTTGCCTTGAGTTGACTTGGCGCGGTAAGTTTGTTTAGGAAGCTTGTCGCCTGGACGCAGCATGACAATGCTTCGGCCTACCGACCTGTACTTGGGAATTGCTGTCCGCACCGTATACCGGCGCGTACACGGCAAGTGAATAATGTATACTCGTCTACGAAACTGGGTTTTCTAGCAGCGTCAGATTGGCTCCTGAGAGGCTCAGAATGTGATCTCCCTGTGGTTCTCCGGCGATGGCGTTGCCTTTGACGTTGACCTGGCGCGGTTAAGTTGTTAGGAAGCTTGGTCGCCTGGACGCAGCATGACAATGCTTCGGCGTCTACCGACCTGTACTTGAATTGGCTGTCGCACGTATTATCCGGCGCGCTACACGGCAGTAATAATGTATACTCGATCTACGATCTGGGTTTTCTAGCAGCGCAGAGGCTGAAGAGGCGTCAGATTTTTTGATCTTCCCTGTGGGGTCTCCCGCGATGGCGTTTGCCTTGACGCTTGACTGGCGCGGTAAGTTTGTTAGGAAGCTTGGTCGCACTGGACGCACTGACAATGCCTTTCGGGCCTCCTACTGCCCCTGTATACTTGAATTGCTGTTCGCACGTATTATCCGGCGCGTTTACACGGCAGTAATAAGTATACTCGTCTACTATCTGGGTTTTCTAGCAGTCGTCAGATTGGCTGAGAGGCTCAGATGTGATCTCCCTGTTGGTCTCCCGCGATGGCGTTGCCTTGACGTTGACTGGCGCGGTAAGTTTGTTGGAGCTTGGTCGCCTGGGACGCAGCATGACAATGCTTCGGCCTACTGCCCTGTACTTGAATTGCTGTCGCACGCTATTATCCGGCGCGTACACGGCAAGTAATATAGTATACTCGTCTACTATCTGGGTTTTCTAGCAGCGTCAGATTGGCTGGAGGCTCAGATGTGTATCTCCTGTGGTCTTCCCCCCCCCCCCCGGCCCGGGAAAATTGGGGGGGGCGTTTTTTGCCTGACGTTGACTGGGCGCGGGTAGTTTGTTAGAAGCTTGGTCGCCTGGACGCAGGGCATGACAATGCTTCTCCTATGCCCTGCACTTGAATTGCTTGTCGCCACGTATTATCCGGCGCGTACACGGCAAATAATGTATACTCGTCTACGATCTGAGTTTTCTAGCAGCGTTCAGATTGGCTGAGAGGGCTCAGATGATGATCTCCCTGTGGTCTCCGGCGATGGCGTTTGCCTTGACGTTGACTGCGCGTAAGTTTGTTAGGAAGCTTGTCGCCTGGACGCAGCATGACCAATGGTCGCCTACTGCCCTGTACTTGCAATTGCTTGCGCACGTATATCCGTGGCGCGTACACGGCAGTAATAAGTATTACTCGTCTACGATCTGGGTTTTCTAG